ACTGAGGACGGGAATGGCAAAGGCATTTATTGCCGTGATCTTATTCTTGCCGTTCAATTCGGTCTTTAACACCGTTCTTACGCGTTTCTTGAATTCAGTAGAGAGTTTGACCTTCATCCCGTGTTGAACAGTGGTGGCATTCTCCTCAAAGCCCAAATACTTGTAAGTGCTCTGGGCATGGAGTTCGTCAAATCTTTCTTGATTGGTGGTCATGATGGGGCCAGTTTCTACTGGCTTCCCTCTGCGAAGAGATAGCTTCGCACATTTGTCGAGACGAAACCTCATTCTAATGTCCGTGGAGAACATGTCCACGGTATTCAGGAATCCCTCCAGCTGTCGGGCTCCTGAGGCAAACAGTTTGAGATCATCCATATATAGAAGATGGTTAACGAAGTGGCTCTCTGTCTTCCCCTTTCCGACATGGTACCCAACTCCACTGGAGTTGAGCAGCTCACTCGGTAGGTTGATGGCTAGACAGAAGAGTAATGGCGAGAGGGAATCCCCTTGAAAAATTCCACAGCGGATGTTGATCTCCCTTGTGACGACTTTGTCCCTTGCCCCTTGAAGAGTCATTGTGGACCTCCATGTTGGCATAATATGAGTGAGAAAGTGTACTACTCTAGGGCTGACCCTGTATAACTTCAAGCACTCGAGGATCCCCGAGTGTGAGATGCTGTCGAAAGCCTTTTGATAATCTATCCAAGCAACCGAAAGGTTCTTTTTTCTTGGAATACGTATCTTGAGAGGATAGCCAAACACCGACTTCCTTTCTCGTCACTTTTAGTCCTTGCTTCTTGGCGCTTCGATAAAACGCCTCCAACCCACCATATCTACCAGGCTTCTCGGGAGCATAGTACGCATTTTCCATATTCACTCGCGAAATGCACTCACTTCGTATTTCATTCCATGTGAATGACAGTGTTGTCCTCCCTCAGTCGAGAGTTTCACTAAAAATGACAAGTTCCAATTATCATCGATGCCCCCTTCTCAAAACAATTTTTTAATTTAGAACTTACACGATTTCTTGTCATGGGTTCCAAACTGCGTCTCGGTGTACATTGGTGCACATAACGTGGGAGCATGTGGAAAAAATAGTGACTGAAATTATGAATCTGTAAGATTCATGTTTAATTACCGTGTCCTTTCCTACCGGCTCCATGCTGTTCCTTACAATTCACGAGGTTGACTGAGTTCCACGCCACTTCATTCATTTCTGATATACCCGGTATGTATGTTGATCGTTTTTTTTTCCAACCAGTGGGAAAAATACCCTTCACATTCCTTCAAACAAATATAGAAAGGGGTACGCTGCCTGAATAAAGAAAGAGCCCGTACAAAATGACCATTTTGTTCTCATAAAGAAGCGTCAGCGGGCATAAACATCTCAAGACCGTTTTTGTTTTGAACAAAGGGACTAGGATAGGGGGAAACCTCTGACGTCACAGGGCGCGGAAATTCTAGGGACTTCCATTCCCCTCTAATACCTACCTTTGAAACTGGAGAACTGTTCCCTAAATCTGCACTGCAATGGGATGAGGGGCCATTGTTTTTAGCTCACATCATATATGTAAATGCGTCAACAATCTCACAAGTTAGTCCGATAGCGGTGATCGTATAGTGGCTACTACGTTGCGTTGTGATTTTTAAGTCCAGGTTCAACTCCAGGCCACGGCGTAAATTCTTGTCTTTTCTTTTTTTTCTTCTTCTCGAGTTTATGCTTTTCCATAATTTGAAAGAGTCTTCGTCAGCAAACCACAGAAACGTAAGAGGTATGATACAGTAGGAGATTCCATTTCCCCCTATGACGCAACTCCGATCGGTGACGTGATGACCTGTTAATTAATTAATTGTGACTCCAAATACGAAAAGAAAAAAGAAACGGCGCGGGGAAAGAAAACACAAAACTCCCGACGTCGATCCCTATCGAGCCAAACATATCACCGCATCAATAGCATGCATCCACTCATTTGCATGTCTGAATCACCCCTCCTTTAGGGGGTGGGCGGAGCAGACGACAGGAAAGGTGGAGAGGCAGCCCCTGACGTCACACAATAGGGAACCCCTTCCCTCAACCCTTCCATTGTTATATGACAATAACATTGTTATTGACACCACCCCCCGTCTGGCGGCATCCCTTTGGACGCCAGACGGGGGGGGAATCTCTCTTTCATCTCTGCGATGTCACTACGATAGTCGCCGAAATCGTCATGTCATGAGGGAAAGTCACGAGGGAATGTCACGGTGATAATAGGAATCACTACAGAAAGAGCGAGCCATGCTTAAACTGACATAAAATAACAACTCCCTTCGTTTTGCGTCTCCAACGGCCCTCATCACCAAAGAGACCGGGCAGGGAGTTTTAAACCGGAACAATTTCATGTCTGGGTATTCTAGGTCTTCGCTTTTGGGAACATATTGCACTTATTCTCGGGAGAAAAAAAAACTGGCACCTTTACGTCAATTAAGTGGCACTCGAAGATACAAGTGGAATTTGCAACGATCTGAAAGCCACAAACTGTTCATCTCACGACGTCTTCAGACGGTTCATAAAGTCATCGACCGATTTTCGAAAGGTGTCTTGAGGAATTTGCTTCCACTCCCGCCACAGGGCTAGCTTCAATGAATCCAAACTACGGTGACGAGTCACATTTACTTTACTCTCCAAATNACTTTACTCTCCAAATTGCCCCAGATGCTGAAGTCTAAGGGATTCACATCGGGGGAACATGGTGGCCATTCCGCAGGACTGATGAATCCCGGAACGTTGTTCTGCAGGCACTGCTGGGTCGTCTTCGCTTTGTGAAAATCGGTCGATGACTTGATGAACCGTCTGAAACTTGTCATTCAGGCCAAGGGTGGTCATATTGAGATGTATTGATGCTATGTGTTCGGTAGGTTGTTGTTACTTGTGATTGCACTCTTAGAAAATTCCGAGCGTTTGGGGAGTAAAAAGTGAGCACACCATGAGCTTTTCGAATTTACTCTCCTATTACTCACCAAATGCTCCCTCGTCGCTCTTATTGAAGTGAACACCTTGAAATTCTTCGCCAGGCCCCTAGATGGCGGTAATGGTCTTGCTTTGAGCACAATGCACAAAAGTTCCTTTCTCTCTTTCCTTGGAATCGTCCCTTGGTCTTATGGAATTTTTTTTCGAGTTCATCTCACGCTTGAAATTGAGTTCGTCGTGGATTAAAATGAAATCGGTCTCCGAGCATGACTTTTCGTCACGGTTGCTTCGACGACATCGTATTTTCGCCTGTTAGCATCGGCGTTGAAAGCCGAAATCACTGGAACGGAAAGGTTGCGCCATCACCAGAGGCTTTCCCGACGGATCGACACGGTCGACCGCCGTCACGTCTTCGAGCGGTCGAGTCGCCAGTCCATATGGACGTAATCGACGACCTGTTGCAGACTCTTAGGCCGCCGGGAGGGGGGGGGGGGAAATGTGGGAAACGCACGTGGAACAAGCAAGACCGAGCGGTCCAGCGAATGTGTTTCCCCTTGCGAAAAGATCCTATAGGATCCTATGATATTTTTGAAACATAAAAGTCTTATAGGATTCTCATAGACATCCTATAGGGTTCTTATATAGGATCCTATAAGAATCCTATAGGATTGCGACTCCATCGCCGCTATTGAAATTGGATTAATTGGTATGTTTTCTCTATTAATATTCAAACCACATACTTAACATTATAATAATTTCATGGTATGCTTGTATGAGCTTGCTTGCCAAATTTCATCAAGATCACTCAACTCCTATTTGGTCATGCATTTTTTTGGGGATGGGGGACTGGGCATCTCAACATATGCGAGAATTAGTCTCGACAGTCCAACATGAAGCTATGACCATCAATCTTCCGCTATCTACCGAGACCCATGAATGATTGAAAGTCGGCGTCATCGATACTACGTACACGGACGATCACAAAATATTCAAGAGAGAAATAAAATATTAATGGTAAAACGGTTCGGGAATAAGAGGCATGCTGATGCAGTCACCTTCCTCCCGCGATCCAGCTGAAAACGTTCTGAGTATTTTTAGGAGTGGTCTGTAATCTGTGAAGAATTTTCCCAACTGGAGTATGTCAATTATATCGGTGAATTTTGCTCGTGAAATCAATGAAAAAGTAAAAGCTGCCATTTTCCATATATTTGCTAGGATTTTGTGAAAATTATTCTGGCAGGAGATTCATCGACTCGTTGCACATCCACTTCTTAGTTCTCCTTGCACAAATGCATGAAGGAAGTGGATTGAAGTCTTCCATTCATACATCTCCTGCTGAGGGCTTCGCTCAGAAATCCATCGTGGAGAGTCAAGGTCCCAAAAACATGGGATGTCGAGCATGGCTCCCCGAAACGGAATTTGGTTTCCATGCCTTCAACCTCGTGCCTCGAACGTCACGGAGCGCGTGCTGCACTCCGCGACCTTCTCCCTTGGGGGAGGAATCGATGACGCAAACAATCGACCTATTCTCCAGGGTTCTGCCATCTGTTCACTTGCGGAAAATGGTCCACCGGGTTGCTGGGTCGCAATGTTGTGGCAAGCCCGGCCTTATCGCATCTAGCTGCGCCTTCCCGGAGACACCGCAGCGAAGCAAATAGGGGATCGTCATGGAAGCATGAAGATTCCTCGGATTGAAGCTAAAAAGACACCAGAATGCAACAATAAGCCGAAGTTGAGAGTTTCTCGGTCATCTGTCTCGGTCATCAACCCCCACCAAAAGAAAGAATCCGCTCGTACCCATACAGTAAAATGCTATCGGATCCTATGAAAATTTTGCTCCATTACGTTTTGTAAAACGAAATCAGTAGTCAATTATTAGGCATTACATGCTGACTCCAGTCCCTTCCACGATTTTCTCAGATACCATGCTGGAATTATGTCACATTCATGAATCATTCCATTTTCTCGCCGGCCACGTTACAGGTGTGTACCACGCCGACCGACCAAATCGGACGAATCGCGCCGACGAAAGATATTCCATAAGCCTGTTCCACTAGGCTAGAATGTATGCGCCGTGCAAGAGGCTACCCCTCCACTTCATCGACGAACCGAATTGGAGGAAGATGTGGCTACTACCCTGGCTCCTCACTTGGCTCGTTTGGAGGGCGATGGGGACCATCACTACTCAGCGATTCCTCGCCCCTCAGATCATGAACATGAAGATCACTTCGCCTTCTGTAGAACGTGTGGTTCGTTCCGAGATTGAATGCGCCATTTCTTGCATGCAGTGAGTCGCCCACATTTCGTCCGTATGTAAATGTCTTCGAAGATGCTTGAAATTAAATATTTCAAGATTTTTTCAGTTTCAAGAGTTTCTCATGTGTGCGTTGGTCTGGAATTGATGGAAATATCTACATTTCAGAAACTTTGAAGTTACTACTTCATCGGATGGCTTGCCATCTGCCATGATGAAGGTATTCGTTCCTTTGAGTACATGCGTGGTTGCTGATTACTTACAGTACTTGAAGGAAAAAAATATCCTAAGAAAGTAAAAACTTTAAAACTCTTTTAATTTGTAAGAGTTTTAATTGAAGCAGATGAAATTAACATTGAAGTACAAATTGTTATGAATTGAAAATTTAGGGGAAAATGTTCGTTGGATTAAGATCAGGAATTCAGATGATAACCAATAAATCCTTATTAGACGACCAAGATAAGAACTATTGAAATTCCCCCAAATCATTTTGCGGTTCAACTGGTATGGACAGAGTCGGTGAGGTGCAAGAGTCGCTTTGTGTTGTCGTTTATAGTAAACGTAAACACGAGCAAGACTAAGATTAGATTCATTGGAATCTCACTGAAATTTTATTCATGCAGAAATTCGACGTGCTTGAGCTTCTCTGTGACACAAGATTCAGGAAGTACCATATGCCTCTTCGGATTCAGATTCGATGAGCCGAGGACTGCCGAAGCATCCAGCAAGTTCTTCTACAGGGATATGCCAATACCAGCCGGTGAATAAATTTCACTCACTATCGTATTTCCTTTCATGTACCTAAGCTTTGAAAGGGCGAATGCCGCTACAATGAGGCTATTCACATCACAAGTTATTTGCAGTCTCATTTCATCATCTTTAACATTGCCCAGTGAAGGAAGGCCATTTGGGCCTATCGCATTCCCTTGATATCTTTTGGATGATAACGGATACTTTTTATTTTTCCTTCTGTAACTATCATAAAGTGTGAATATACTTGCTGAATATCATTTTTCTTGAACATTATTTTCCCTGGGAAGTTGTCCGCAACGTCATTAATTTATTGATTCTCATTGCTGGCCAGAGGAAACCCAATCTATTTTTCGCATTTATTATGTTACCTTGACAAGAATGACGTAGTTAACTTTTTCCTATCCATACACTTGAATCTATTTATTCTGATATTTTAATGGTAATGTTAGCCTTGAAAATGTCAGTGTTTCCCTAACTTTGGAAATGACACGTTGAAACTGAAGAATACACGAACGCATAGATAGAAATCCAATAGACGTAGGCCGATGTTTTAATAACATCTTTCCCCCCCAGGAATTTTAGAGTGTAGGAATCTTTACCCTTTCTCTATGAATAATGCAAAAATATTCGCCTCTCCGGAAGGGTACGACCTGGTGCCGGGTACGAGGAGTTACGTGAAGCTGACCAAGAAAACCATCTCTGAAATTGATTCCCAAACAGCGTGCAAGCAGGATCACGCTGAACTCGTCTCTTCCAGCGATGCAGCAGTGTATAACAATACGAATCAGCTATGGACGACTCAGGCATTTAATCTCAATATATGGGTCGGTGGACGGAGTTTATCGAACACCCTCATTTGGGCATTCCCCGACGGTGAGTCCTCATCCGTAGCTCTCGACTGACGAACCCTGAATTCGAGCACTTCAACTGGAGTGACTACACTAAAGTAATTACTGCCGCTTTTCCATCATGCTCGGAGAGGAAGGTTGCCCCGATTATCGAATAAATACGTGCCGGTAAAAATGCTTACTTAAAATTCTAATTCATTGATTTAGTGATGCCTCATTTTGAATCATCTACGTTTTCTCACCGCTGCTTTTCGTTCTGTTCCATCAACTTCTCCCATCTTGAATTCATGCTTAATGCATTAGCCTGATGCTTTGCTTCCCAAATGAGATCATTCGGGGTAAGTGTAATCAGTTCTAATATTTGGTATCTACATGTTTCATATGCCATCAACGAAGTATTCACTACGACGTACTCTGTCAAGTTAATCCTGGATTGTATACTACGTACATAGTCTAATTTCACTGTATATATAGTATAATTTTTCATGCTTCATGGTTGTCCAAAAGTTGTCGGACACTTTCTTCTCTTTCTCTTACACTTCTTTTTTTATGAAGTTAAAGTTTTAATTAAACCTATTTTTGGTTTTGACAATTATTCAACTAACAAGTCGAGGTTAAGGTTTTATCAAATCCGTGATTTGATAAAACCTTAACCGTGAAACTCAGTCTTAATCTTCTAAGGATCTTAGGGATGAGGGTCAGGCCGAGTCAAGAGTTCTGATCGGTCAGGCAGCCGAATCCTTCGACTATCTTCGACTATTTCAATCAACAGCCGAATCGCATCTGCTGGTCACGCCTAGGTAGAGGATATTTAAAGGTTTATTTAAGTTTCGCCGGCCGCTCAGCGGCGACTTCATGGAGCATCATTGTCAAAATGATGTCACCAGGTTTCATAACGTGCTACGATTCTGCCCAGAAGCCGTTCCCTTCGGCATTGTCCTCCTGCTGACGTGCGGTACCAATATCTATGCGGATATTCCTCCTGGTTCGGTCGAGCGTTTCGGTACCCATAAGGTGCCTACAAAGTGGTATTGGAGGTGATCACGTGCGACTGTGTGGACAGACCCTTGGGTAATCTCCTTTCCAGTGGCTGTGAAATCCAGGAACGCTCGTCTGCTTGCTCTAATCACATCGTGCCCCTTCGGGATGTCGTCGCCTGTGATGATGACATCGGCACGTCTGGGTCACGGTTTATCTTCAACATGGAGGCGGCCGCTACGAAATATTTTGCACTATTCATATACTTATCTCTTGGGCGAACCTGTCTCGACACAAACGGCAACCGAACTGTGAAGAATATAATTGAAGTACATTTGCACCATCAGCAATATAATATCTGAATCATGTTCCCCTGATGCTCCTTGCACGCCTCTTTAATGGAGATAGTCATTTTGACCGGTTACCGCACATGTGCAAGAGTAAACTTCCACAAGCAGTGGCACCAATGAAAACTTCACGATATTATACTTTATTCAATATCTATACACGATGTAGGACGTCCTCTCATGATTTTTGGACTGCGTTTCTTGCTTTCATTTGACTGGCTCAAGTGTGACCCATCCTGATTGGATGAAAATTTAATGTCGTTAAAGTATCCTCTTCTGCTTTCCAGGCACCAACAAGACGTTCCCAGGGGTAGGTAAAGGTGGCTTTTGTGCAGCACAACCCGATGAAGCTCATGGTTCTTGCCTGTTGTATTGGATGGCATATAATATTCCATGCTTGGGTGATACCTTCAACTGCGGTCTCAACCTCGATGGATACATCTGCGAAATGAAACTGCCGATTTGATCTATGTCCGAGAAGTCTGATGAAAAAATGTCCTTGCCGTGAATTAATGGATTCTTCGCACAATGTTCTGGTTAATTTCCGCACCTTGTAGATAATCAGTATGTCACTACATTCTGAAATCACATTGTTGCAACCTTATCTAAGATGAGAAATTCAAGCATGAACTATATCAAGCAACTTTTATTGAAGAAAATGTCATTTCCTAAATTCCTCAAGTACCAATAAATTTTTTAACGTGTAAATAAGAAATTACTTTTCTATTTTCTTACTTGGTGAACAGGTTTCGACAAGTTCTCAGATTTAGGCGAAGGTGATAATAAATACTAGGCCGCACATGTGGGAAGAACGGTTCCTTAAAGGACGAACGAATGAATGACGAACAGTCAATCGGGACGGCCAAGTAAAACAACGTTCGTTCGAACCGTCCAGTTAATCTATTCTTGAAGTTCACAGTTCTTGAATTGCCTTTCAATTTAATTTTAAGAGCAACGGAGATGTCAATGAATTCAAAAACATGTTGGAAATCATTATTTCATTAAAGACTTAACGCACATTCCATCATTTTCTCTGATCTCAATAGTAACTTCTATCCCGCTTCATTTCTCTTCTTTGATCATTAATAGCTTTGACTCTTATGCGTATGATACCGTCAAGACTTGGTATATTTATATATTGAGAGCATCTGTGTTTTTTAGTGTGCGCCGGCGTTATTGACACCAGGTGGCTTTGAATCTTCGTGCTCACTCTTTATTGTCCCTCTAACCTTTCACAAGATTTCACTTTTTGCAATAACAGTCCTGCTTTCAATCAGATGCTGCAGTACATACAGACATTTTTTAATATTTGAGAAAGTTGAATAAGCATACCACAGACACTTCTCAGCTAGATAGATTGAGATCGAAATTTTCAAATATCAAGCTGAAGGATAAAAGACCTAATTTCTTTATAAAAAAAAAGAGATTACGAACGGAATATTATATCCTGACTCTTATTCTACGAATATTTTCCGATCAAATACAATATTTTTTATGCAATAGAACAAATTTAGCTATTGAGAGTTGAAAATATGTATCCTTTCATTGACATGATTACGTGTCCCCAGCATAAAATCTAAAAATGAAGAACAATTTACTTTTTGAGAAAACTCAGAAACTTGCAACCTACCTGTAGGCGCAATGATTATGTTCTTTTTTGTATTTTCGTGTCTTATGGTCTCTTTGGAGTGCGATTAATAGCATGTTACCCTCAATCGATGTTTTTTATTATGTTATCTTGAAGGTATTTATTCCTCTGCCAGAGACGTGATGCTTGCTTTCGTGTGTTCATAGTTATCAAATGGATATGGGTTTGCTCTTTGTGAAGGCATTTTTTTGTGGAAATGCTCTAATACCACTGCCAATTTAATTACGTTTTTTCTTCAGTTGGATGCGCCAGGGGGTGTTCATAATAGGTGGGAGCATCGCAAATCTAGACAATAGTTGACCAATGACTTAACCTATTTTTTACTTCGACACTAGTCGCTCAATATCTAAACTTCTAGGGGACCTAGACGAACATCCAGTAACGAATCTGGTCTCCTCTCAGAATTTGTTTTCTTGCCTTTTGTGTTTTCATGCATTTCCCAGCTCATTCTTGTTTTCTGCGTTCGTGATTGCTGTTAAGAGTTCCTTCCAGAGGAACTGAGGCCTGTCCTTCCTCTCAGTCTCCTGATCAGCTATGGAGGATGGATATATTTTACAGATGGGGTATTTTCAAGTTTTTCTCCATTCCCAATAGGCCACGGCATGAATGTCGTCCTCCTTGGTGCAACCACCTTCAAGAAAATTGATTTTTGAATATTCCGTGTCTCATGTGAGGAAAACGAATTGTGTGAAATGAAAAATTTGGCCATTCAACGATCGTCATAGCATCTGACTACGCGAATAGACGGCTTTCAGAGTCATTGTCTGATTTCTTCTGTAGGCGACCCTCTGGTGTCTTCCAAGTTCAATTTACAAACCTGATTTAAGGAACATTTATTGGACTATACACTACTTAAATCGAATCCAGTTCGTCGAAATTTTCTATGATAGCTATTCAAGGCGAATTCTTTAATGAAACGATTTATCTTCAATGGAAGCAAAATGATTTTTTTCGAATTTCAATTTCGATAATTCGAGTCGATACCGATTCCAGTCTTGGATCCCCCCCCCCCCATCCCTACACGTCTTAGAAATGTCTCGTTCGATTGAAGTGCCTCTAGGGCAAAGAATGACCATGGTTCGTATAGAATCAAGGTGTTCAGGAGCGATGTTTTTCCCATAGACATTGTCTGCGTCTGTAACTGCGCATTGTTGAGAGTGCAATCTCGTAATCGGAGATCTCATTCAAAACCGGGAGGCAGCCTTCTCCGAGAGACAAAAGCCATCCTGAGATCAGTATATTCCCTCATCAAAGAAAAACATACTGTGTATACAGTGTGAGTCAAAAGTCCTGTCCCATCGAAAAACAAGTATAATTTCACCAAAATGTAAAATATATTCAATCGTTCTAATCACAAGTGACAACAACAACCTATCGAACACATCACATCAACAGATCTCAAAATGACGACCCTTGGCCTGAATGACAAGCTTCAGACGGTTCATAAAGTCATCGACCGATTTTCGAAAGGTGTCTTGAGGAATTTGCTTCCACTCCCGCCACAGGGCTAGCTTCAATGAATCCAAACTACGGTGACGAGTCACATTTACTTTACTCTCCAAATTGCCCCAGATGCTGAAGTCTAAGGGATTCACATCGGGGGAACATGGTGGCCATTCCGCAGGACTGATGAATCCCGGAACGTTGTTCTGCAGGCACTGCTGGGTCGTCTTCG